CCCCTAATATAACCCCAATATTACACCAGTGCCCTAAACCCCCGACCCTAAACCCTAAAACCCTAAAACCCTAAACCCTCAGCCCTAAACCCCTAAGCCCTAAAGCCCTAAACCCTAAAACCCTAAACCCCTAAACCCTCAGCCCTAAACCCTAAAACCTAAACTCCTGAGCCCATGATCCCCCGCAGCAAAGCCAGGAGGAGGCCGCCGAAGGTACCAGCGCGGACACAGAACCGCAGGACTCTGTGAAGGGGGATGCATAGGGGGTTAAAAAGGGGGTATATTGGGGTTATATAGGGCTTATATTGGGATAATGGAAAAGAAAATGGAAACTACTATTTAGGTTTTAGGGTTTAGGGTTTAGGATCTAGGGTCTAGTGTTTAGGGTTTAGAAATTAGGATTGGGGTTTAGGGTTCAGGATTGAGGGCTAAGGGTTTAAGGTTTACACCTTGTGGCCTGGATTTACTGGGTTCAGGGTATAATGGAGAATCAAATGGACAAGAGAATTTCAAATGAGATGGGATTGGGCTAGTTTGCGGCTTAAGGTTTAGGCTTCCGGGTTAGTTCAGGGCTTACGCTTCTGGGAGCCTAGCATAAAACTAGTACGGGGGGCGGGGGTAAAAACTATTCCATGCGCAGATGGGATAGGGCATGTCTCAGACGTAATGCTACAATTACATAAGAAACCCATGACCTTCATGTTAGTTTATCATTTAGGCGGCCTGTAGTAAAATCGCGAACCATTCCATGCGGGTAGCCACCAGGTAATACCTGGCTGTAGGGTTCAGGGTTTAGGGTTATCGTGAGGTGGCGGGGGCCTCAATGTGGACGTGATTGCATTACAAAAGAGTGTGTATGGTGATTTTGGAGTATGATCTGCACTCTGAGCAGCCAACTTGACCCTCAAAACTGTGCTTGCTTAAGAATCGGCAACTAAGCAAATCGACTCGCGTTCCTCCATCGCCATGCTTAACATCTCCGGATCATGTGGGATTTTTGAATATGGGGGAGCCCTTTGGGTTTAGGGTGTATCACTGAACCCAAGGCACCGAATATTGGTAATTACTCGTCAGATATGAGTATGGCGTCCTCGGGCTTGTTGGGCCGCTAAATGGCGGCCGGGCGTATACATCACCAAATCCTACTAAGTTGCTTCGTACCGGAAGCCGGGAAAGAAAGTCCTCATTTTGCAAACTCTGAACTGTAAGCCCAAGCCGTAGGCAAAACCCAAATTTAAAATGCTCAAGCAGTAAAACCCTCAAGCCATGAACCCCAGAAGCTGTCCGTTCACTCTGTTGGTTGGTTGCGCTCATGGTGCAGATTTCCTACGGTCTGTAGGTTGGTGGGTTACTTCTTAAAAGAAGCTGAAGTGTTGGATTTTGGGCATTGGATTTTGGGTTTCGGTGCTCCAGCGCTTTGGAGGCCCAGAGGCTTTTGAGGCTCCCTGGAATTTCTGGAGGCAGGTTTCCTGGAGGCCTGTGTTTTTTAGAGGCCCCTGCAATTTCCCGGAGGCCCCTCGAAGCCCACTTGCGGCGGGCCATTGAAAATCAGGTTCATTTCAAGCAGGCCGCTTGTTTTGTATCACCACGACGCGATCGATCCTTGAGATTTCAAAACGCGCTGTTGGGAGGTTTCCGGAGGCGTAGAATCACATACAACTGAGGGGTATAAGGGACACGGGCAGGCGGCGAGCGAAGGAAGAAAAACGGGTGAGGATGTTAAACGAATAGGGATTCTGGGAGGGTGGGGTGACAGCAAACACGTGTACTGATGTAAGAAGCCTTGCTACCTTGCTGATCGTGAACCCTTAAGCCCTAAACCCTGATGCCTAAAATCTAATGCTTGAACCGCAATCCGTAAACCCTACGCCCCGAATCCCACACCCTAAACCCTACACCCTAAGCCCTAAGCCCTAAGCCCTAAACCCTAATCCTTAAACCCAACTCCCTAAACCTTACATTATATACCCACACCCTAGACCCTTTGCCCCCACGCCTGGAACATGAAATCCCGACCCTAATCGCTAAACCCCAACCTTCGCCATTTCCCAGACCCCTTACAGAATCCAAAAAATCGAACTTCGCTTTAGGGCTTAGGGCTTAGGGTTTAGGGTAATCCCCTAGTTTCCCCTAGGTAAGTAATGGGGGTCGTTTTGGGGGCTCGATTTTTTGGATCCAGGGGGTCTGGGTTGCAGGAGCTGCGTGTGCTGTCTTCCTTGCTTGGCAAGCAGGCGTCGGGAGAAGGGCGCCGGGCGGAGGGTTTCAGGGTTTACAAGGGGGAAAAGTTTACATGGGGATCCACCAAGTATATACGTTTGGCTTCATTATGGGACACCAGGAAGATCAAATTAAGTTGGATACTACCTCCATTATCAAGAATACAATGGCACTACGATTACAAGTTTGGGGGGCTGTTATGGGGTGCGGCAAGCCACAAACCCTAAACCACGCCCACCGCGCTGGAAAGCAACCCCGCCTACACTAAGCCCTAAACCGGGGACTGCTTGGAGTGCGGGGGTTTAGGGTGTAGGGTTTCTTCCTCAACTTACATGGAACCCCATACAGCCCCCATCTTAAAAACGAATCAGGCTATGTAGGCTTCTTGCTCCCAAGTTCCATTTCTGTTTGGGAAGGGCTGCGGATTTTTCCGGGACGGGTCCTTAAACCCGTGAAACCCTAAAATCCTAAAGCCCTAGACCCTAATTAACCCTAAAGTGCATCTGCATGTGTTCCCAGTCTGAGATGGCTTATTTAAGGAACCTCGAAACTGCATACTCGGTTTAGGGTTTAGGGTTAGGGTCTAGGGTTTAGGGTACAACCCCGTGAAAGCCAATATTATGGGTATCTATGGAATATATTAGCACTAAGATATGCAGCTATATACATATGGGTATGTCTTGAAATTATCCCTGTCGAATTCCTCATAACGGTCCCCCTAATCTCCTTGTATCCCTTTTATTCCCCTTGGGGTCCCTTGGGGTTTCCCATTTTGAGAAATTCCCATATGAGCGATAGTCTAAGCTCTTTTAAATGGGGGGTTACATAGGGGACTACTTTCAGGGTTATTAAGAGGGATACTAGGAGTCTAGACTATGGCTCATATAGCGAAATCCTAAGCTTTAGCCATGAGTTTCCAATTACGCTTTCCATTTTCTTTTTCATTAGATTCTGAAGTGTTGGGGGAATCATCCTACATATGCTTCACCCCAAACGCCAAACCCTACACCCTAAACCCAAGAGCCTGTACAATGGGAGGATGCCAAAGCAGCGCCAGCGGAGCCCAAGGCTCCGTGTCCGTGTGCAGATCGGGTTTAGCCTTTGGGGTTTAGGGTTTAGGGCCACTCTTAAAGGGTATAGAGCATACCACATATGGGGTTCAGGGTTTAGGGCTTGGATGGGCTTGGGGTTCAGGGTTTAGGGTTTGTGGTTGCATGGGCTTACTCCTACAAGAGCAGAGAATTCAAACGGGCAATGAAATAGGACATGAAATCCACGTAGGTTCTGGGGATGTTTGTTTAGCATTAGCCTACACCCCTAAACCCAGCTGTGGGTTGGGCGTTGAGGATTGCGGGCTCACAGCCTGCGACTGAAGGTTTTGGGATGTTCAGGGTTTAGGGTTTCAGGTTTAAGGTGTCTTATGCTTGGGTTCAGTAGAGTTTTTTTGGCTGATAGGGCTTAGGGATCGGGGGTCTCTTCTGGATGGGGCTCATCGCTACAAAGCCCGGGCCCTTCCCCCATACATGTGAAGCAAGCACAAGATTGCATGACATCAGCTGATGTGATCCCTAAACCCTAGACCCTAAACCGGTCAACTGCCCCCTGTGCTGCCAAAGGTGAGATCGAAATTCACTGAGTTCACCCAAGTCACTGTTTGTTTTTCAAAAACAGATTTGGGACTGCAATGGACGTGGAGGCTTGCTTGTCATTGACAAAAGGAAGGTGTACTGTGAGTTGGCTTCCGAGTGCAAGGTGACAAGAGATGCTAGACGTTGCCCCGAACCCGCCAGGCCCAAGTTTGCAAACCTCAGTTCATTGCGACACCCCAGCTCATTGCGTATCCCAAGATAACCCCTATAAGCCCAAAAAACGCTATGTAATATGGTAGTTTCCATTTTCTTTTCCATTATACCAATATACCCAGTACCTCCAGGTAGAAAACACTCCCGATGGGTGAAAACTCAAACCGAGATGAGCTAGTGGGGATGCTGCCGCGCCGGAGGTACCGGTTATATTGGGATAGTGGAAGAGGAAAGGGTAACTACTATATTATATTGGGTTATATAGGGGTTATACAGGGTTTATAGGGGTTATATTGGCATAATGGAAAAGGAAATGGAAACAACTAGGGTTATATAGGGGTATATAAAGTTTACATAAGGTTTCTAGAGGTTATATTGGGATTGGAAACCACCTCTGACACGCACGCTATGTTGGCTGACCTGTAGCACACGCCGGCAAAAATGCAGCACTGGATGTAAAAGGCGGTGTAACCTTTGGAAATGCTGCAGTTGAAAAGCAGCAAAAGGACTGTCAACCAGCAAGGCTCCAATGAGGAGCTTTCAACTTCGGTAGGTTGCTACAAAAAAGAGCCTGGTCGATGAGAACCTGAAACATGCTAGGCCAGGCAAGAGGTGCAAACCTCAAACAGGGTACCCTCCCCCAAACTAACATGGAAGCCCATGTACACCTTATGTAAAGGGACTGTAGTCTTTACAGGGCCCTTTATAGGTTTGCGTGTTAGTTTCCGGGAGGGTAGGGCCAGCAGGTGAAGTGTAACCTTTGCAGCCATCGACGGTGGCTTCAAATCAGACTCGACCTCGCTAAAAGGTTAGGGTTTAGGGTTTAGGGTTTAGGGTTTAGGGTTTAGGAGCAGCCGCCCAGCAGGGGCACAAAGTTTGAGTGAGCGCCCGCGCAAAGAGAGAGAATTTAGGGAGGCCTTGGGAAGGTATGAACCCTAAACCCTAAACCTTAAGGTGGTTTCAGGGTTTAGGGTTTAGGGTGATTGATTACCGCTTCCCTTTTCATGGTTTTCTCCCTCCAGGACTCGTTAATTGTCATATCTATGATGGGCATCTTCCTGTCATATATGGCCAGGGTTATTGTTCATGGTTCTCTTATTCAGGTTTGTTATTTTTGTCGATTACTTAAGCCCTAAACCCCTAAACCCTAAACCCTTAAACCCTAAACCCCCAACCCCTAAACCCCCAACCTCTAAACCCTAAACCCCTAA